TGCTTCCGTAAATGGTGCAGCGTTAAGAGAAAACAACGTTAGCAATGGTTAAGCAAGTGCTTAAGCCAATTAAAGACAGATTTACCTATTTCCGAAGGGAAGAGACGCCCAGCCCCTGCTCGGTGCGTGCCCTCTCCCTCCGTGTGAGCGCGTTTCCCCTTGTGGCATTAACGCCAGCCATTTCACGCGCGATCGCATTGCGAGGTTTCCCGTAAAATGAGGACTGCAGACTTTTTTACCTCGACAAGGTCCTGCGTTTACTGTGTATTATTAGTGTTTTGCTGAAAAACTTTCAAGTCTCGCAGAAGGTCTGCCGGTGGAAAAACTAACAAGCGGTAAAACTCACAAATCCTAACAGCGATGGAAAAATCAAACATTTTGATAAACGTATTTCATTAGCTTTTTTTTTTTTCTGATTCCAAATTCCGATTAAAAATCAACAGCTTTTATTAATAAAAAAAGGAAACGAAATGTTTATGCACCGAAAGGCTCGGTTTAGGGCCTCATTTTCCCAGCAGCGGATGCTGATAAATGAGGGGGCCCCGGTGCAGCCCCCCCCCCCGGCTTCTGCTCTGCTGCCTTTGGAGTCTGCCCGGCTTAGCAAGGGCCTTCGATCGTTAGGTTGCAAGTGGCTCCTTCCTCCCGAACAGTCTGGTGCAGCCGGGAGGGGTGACAAGTCGCGCTTGCAGTGTCAGCGCACAGAGGCAGGGGACACGTGACGGCAGCTGGTTCTTGCAGGAGGATAATGAAGAGACGGGAAGCATCGATTCATGATCTATTTGTTAGGACCCCAGCGAAACAGCTGTTTGTTTCTCATAAACAATTATGCCAAGACGGAAATTGGCTTGTGTCTGTACATACTTTTTTGGATGGGGAAAATTAAGCAGTAATAGCTGGAAAAATAATATGGGCTATGAGATAATAGATGCCTAAGGGATAAAATTAAACAGTACTTTACAATGAAGGAAGAGGTTTTGGCAATAAATAGTTTGCGTTTGACTTCTTTTTGTGTGCCAGAGGACTGGTATTGTTTTGAAGAGGTTATCCTGTGCTGCGTTTTCCAAATAGACGTAGGGATATTATGAAGGTCTGTTTTCCTCCAGAGGAGGATGGTGCCAAGGATGGGGTGCAACTCAAACCGTCTGCGTTCGTTCTGTGAAAACCCAGCGCTTGACGTGGCTGCCGCGCTTTCCGATGGCTGCTGACACCACCGCCCCGGCCCCTGGGAGCCGTAACGCTCCGTGTTAGTCCTCTGCCCAGCTGCGTCCTTCGCTGGCGCGGTGCTGGGCCCGCGCGCCGTCCTGGCCGGCGGCCGTGGGCTGCCAGTGGGATGCGGTGAGCGCGTGATCCAGCGCGCCTGCGCTGCTGCAAAGCCACGGGGGACTTGACTGAAGCCGTGGTCCAGCGCAGGACACGGACCCGGTGGCTTTGTCTGGCAAATATCGTTAGTCATCCTTCGTGCAGGGGCAGGCTTAAAAGAAGACAGGAGGCAATACAAAGTAAAACGGTAAGAAGTGTTGTTGCAAATACCATAGGGTGCCCAAGAAGGCACCAGACCAGGGGTGAGAGACGGTACGTTGGGCACCCCGATGTGGTCCGAGAAGAGTTTATTCACAATCTGCGCGTGCGCTGGAGTTTGCTGCTTGACTGGCTTTGGTCTATTCTCAGAAGGCCCTAACCATTAATTAAATGCCAATCAGATTCGTATTTGTGCTGCCCTTCCTCCACTAAGTGCTTTTCCTTAAGTACCCTCTGAATACCTGGTTTAGGATACTGTGTAGTAGCTTGAAAACGCTGTTTTCTCCATTTCCGATGGCTTGTGCCGCCATCTTCTTTGGCTTGTGCACGCAGGATGTGCAAACTGAGGCCGGATGAACCGGCGTTGCCTCCTGACGC